TTGCAGGAATAAGCGAGTATATATATATAAATTCAACTTTAATTTTTAAAGTAGTTTTTTTCAGTCTTATCAGTAATACTAGTTAAGATGTTTCAATGGCAGAAAGTATTTCTATTCAGATTTCATATCTCGTATACAATACTGAAGATGTAATCTACTTCTAAGAAATTTTTAATTCATATTTCAACAAGTTTTTGAATGATTCAGAACGCAAACTCGATATTTCAAAGATCATAGCAAAGTTCTATCGTCTAGTGATGAGTGTTGTCCTTTCAGCGGTCATCGTCTGTGGATTTTATAGCTCTGGTCCAGTGATTTACTTAATTATTCAGTACGCTAAACATTCACCGAAGATGAAATACATCCTCCCACACTCTAGAATATTCCCTTGGGAAATTTCTCCAAATTTATTTATTTATCGGGCACGTTATGTAGTTAAAGCATTCGCTATCATATCAAGTAGCTGGATTACGTTGTCTATTGACTCTGATTATATCTTCCAAGTGTTTCAGATAATTGAATTATGGCAAAAAAATCTTATAATCGATGAAAGATAAATAAGGAAGAAAATTCTAATACTATTATTTGACAATCTATTGATAATAACAGAGCAATGCTGCGCAGTTGTCATAAAGTTGATTGATTTTATCGTTCAATTGTTATTTATATAATGGTCTCTAATGCTGTGACTACATGTGCTATTACTATTCAATTATACACGTATATTTATTTTATTATCATTATGCAGATGCTTATAAATGTGGACCATATTTATGTAATTGTAATAATTACAATATCATGATATTTTTTTTCAACTCATAATTTAGAAACAATATTTTTATACCATGGCTAACATTAAATCACGAGTACTATTTTTAAAATTATGAATTGATTCAATTTCTTAAGGTATCAATAGATTAATACATGGATCATCAATTTTTAGCTTTTGATATATAAAGGGTGATAAGTAACCGATCATTTACAAGTGTTACTTGATATATCGGTTAATGATCGGTTACTTATCACCCTAGTTTTACTTTATACTATTATATCAGCTTTAACATATCCATAAAACTTCATTATATATTTTTGTTACATTTAAATATACCCTATTAATGAATTTAAATTGATATATGTAGTGAGTCACTAATCAAAATACATCAAAAAATAAGTGGCTTTTTCCTGATTGGTCGAAAAATTTGGTAATTATTTAGAATTGGAGCTCCAGGCAAAAATCGCTCCAAAAAATGTTTTATGCATTTGGGGTTATTTCTGAGGGTACGAATAGTAAATTTAAGGTGAGGGAAACATTTTTTCCATTATGTTAGACGTTACATGGTAGAACTTATATATGATAAATCAATGAATGTCTCTAAAATTGTTAATCATATATTTCAGAACGTAGCAAACAGAGGCAAGAGGGGTGAAGGTGTTTATAATTTAGTTAAGGTTTATTCGTCTTTCCTTCCTTTTATCACGCTCTTATTATACTAGAATTTTGATGTAAATAAACATATTCATTATTTTGTTTTGATTCCTCTGCGATATGAGTTATGAATTTTTTTCTCTACACTAATCCGATGATTACGGAGAGTTGTATCTCTCCCATATTATGATATCACGATTCCCACTTCTAAGTTCACATTCTTTTGCTTTTGTTCTTATTTATGAATAAGTTTAGTATATATCTATCTCGTTCATTCTTACTGGTAAAATAAACGTTCGTTTTCATACATAATGTTTACATTTTTCTATTTCGTCGGTTTTAAAGGTAATTTTTGTTCAATTTATTCGCGATTTAAATCATTTTAATCAGTTTGATAGAAATCTTTGGCGTGATGCACGTGGTGGCATGCCCACATATGGTCGCCGAGACTATCACATGAGTGGATATGTTGCCAAATTTTTATTTTGAAGACGGTTTCAAAATCATATAACACGTTTACATGCACTTGCCATTCCAATTCGCAACTTCTATTCGAAATTTAATGACTTTTAACTTTTTTCGAACTGTATTCATTCTAAAATACATATTTTTGTTTTTGATTATTAATAGCATGACGAAGAAAATGGAAGGTGCGGAAAGGAGGAGGGGAGGGGGGGGGGTTTAAAGGACATAAAGATTTTTTAATAATTACAAAACTATTTATGTTCTTTTAACCTTCCCCCTTCCTCCCGCACCTCCCATCTTCTTCGTCACTTTATTATTCGAATTCAAGCTATACCTATACCTAAAATTCTGTTTTTTCGATGGAACCTCATGAAACAAGTCTCTCCCACCTTTAATTTTCTAATTCCACCTAAGAAAATAGTTTTCAGGTAGTGAAAAATTTTTTGGAGCGGTTTTTGCCTGGAGCCCCAATTCTGAATAGTTACCTCATAAACAGTTACAAATTAATACGTGTATTGTATACTGTTGATAGAACAAATATTACTCTACGTTGGTAAAACTAACATCCATCTACCATTCAGGTAATTAATATTATTCCTTGTGTAAGCATTGTTCTAAATCTTACAAACATTTATATTCAGTTGGGCAAGAACACATTTAGCAACGGAAGTAATTATAAACTTTTTTCAAATAAAATAAAAAAGAGAGCTGAATTATTTACTTATTTCTTTTAGAATAAGTAGAGTGAAAACTGTCAGGAAACTATTTATTCTATTAATTGGGTTGGAAATGAAAAATTGATGTTTGCACTTATCATTGCGTTAATTCAGAGGTTTCTGTAGTGATAGCGCGAAATTTTTTGGTATATCTTTAGATGTATTTGCAAAATTTTTGTTTCAAACACTATAGAAACTAAATTGAAAATGCAACAGTATTCATTTCTCCGTTGCAGCATAATTAGAGTAATCGAATGAATTGTGATAAAAAACATTCGATTTTCATTAGCAGACTCTATTTCTCATTGTTTATCATTCATACAGTCGTCAAAAATACATAACACGTTATACAGATGATGAAAACCTCAATTTTATTATTAGAGCCCATTTTAACGTGTTAACGAAATAAAAAGTCGTTCACAGTGTTTACGAAATTTTGTGTATAGTTTTAAGTTAAAATCTTTCAATTTTTAATTTACTTCTTACAGTGATAGTTAAAAATTACTCTTTAATATTATTTTTTCTTTCAATTTGCAAATAAAGTGGTGATCCAGTTGTAAAATTTATATGAAGATTAACAAATATTTAAGAATCCAGAGCTATAGAAAGTCAAAAATTGTAATAGCAATATCGACCTTTTACAATAAAGTAATAAAAATTAATATGCATCGGTTACAACCAGTGAATTAGAACGATCGTTCTCGAATTTTAAATGTTTGTTCCGGGATAATCGTCGTTTGCTGATGCCAGAAAATTCAAGGATATTTGTTGTTACATTTTGTAATAGAATTGGATGTTTATAATTCAATATATTTATGTATATAATGTTGACAAAATTGCTTAAATTTCTTTTTCTAGTTGATAGCGGAATTTCTATCAAAAATCGTTTGTAGTTTTTGTAAAATGTTCCCAGATCAATTATTATTAATATTTAGAAGTTCTCTGACTGAGTACAGTTACATCCGAAGAACTACAAACGATTACATCGATGTTTTTTAGCATATTTGTAAGTTTAAACATTAAATTATATGCGCCTAAGGCTTGGTAGTAATGCAAAAGAACTCTAGGTGGCTGCGACTGCCTTTCACTGGTAAATTGTTAACTTTCTTACCTGAAATTACTACAATAAACAGTAATTGCTACAAAAATTGGGCATAAAACAAAATATAGGGCCGTAACCTTAACGAGTCGAATGGTCACCGAACTTAGAGCACTAGCTTGGGCTTTATTGATTGCAGGTCCAGTTGTTTAATGAACTAATTCCAAGTGAGAATGCCTCCTCACAATGAAAGACATATGATAGAGTAATTGTGTTACAATCATCTAAAAACGATGCTGAATGCATTGGTAATCACAATTTTCCGAAAATCATCCATTTTCATGAAAAATTACAACTTTCAGTGATTTTCAGAAGATTTTTCAGGACTACGAACAAATAAAGGTTATTACAATCATCTACATCATTTGTAGTACGCGTATCGATTTTTATTTTTTTTAGTTCGGGTTCCAAATTCACAGAGGGATCTATTTACTATATAAATTTGGGGAGTTTGTCTGTCTGTCTGTCGGTACGGAGTAGTCCCCGGAACGGCTAATCCGATTGCAACCAAACTCTGCAAAAATGTAGAGGACATTGTGGGAACGGTTATAGACTACTTTTTGTTTATGTAAATTGTTTGTAACCATTGAATTTGTTGAAAACAATGGAAAACGGAATCTATTCAATATATTTGAACTCTTCCAACGGGAAATTTTTTCCTTCAGCTATAATTAAGTTACAAACCATATAAAACATGTGCAAACATATTTCTTTTGTTTATAACAATCGAATTTGTGACAAACAATAAAAAACGGGATCTATTTAATATATTTGAGTTCCTTTAAAAAAACTACACAACATTAATTCTCTATTGTTAATAACTGAATACACAATTTTAATTAGCAATTGTTTTACATTATAACTTAAAAACATGTTTATGTTAAACTTAAAAAGATAAAATAAACTTAAAAAAAGATTTATTATCGAAACTTTTACACTGCACTTGAAAATTTATTTCAAAAAATTTTTTAGAGTATGTTTTGATTTTCATGTTTACTAACTCATTGAAACAAAGATAACTGGAGTGAGCAAACCTGCTCAGTTCAGCGATTCAATTTTGACTAAAACATAAATTCTAGGATACCCCCAATCGATATAAAAACGATTAACATAATCGCTATCATATCATCATTAGATAAATTTTGCAATAAAGCTATAACCGGTGAAATTACACTTGATCAATTTTCGAACTCTTCATGACATTTAGATGTCAGTTTTTTTACCTATTTCCATCATAATCTTCAACTAGACTCGTTTGAATATTTCTTGATAAATCATTATTTCGTTATAGATAATGTCTGATCGAACATTGATAATTTATACAAGCTACAAACGAATAGTTGAAAAAACTCTTGTGGCATCAGCGCTTTGGCCATCGAAAAGTTCACAATTTTCTTTTCGTTGTATTTTATTCATACATCTTAGTTTATGTTTTTGTCCTCTCTTTGGAATGTATAACTTTTGTAAAAAATACATTAAAAATATAATTTTATTGACTAAAGGTTTAGGTATTATAATAAGTTTCGTAACTGTTATTTTCAAAGTAAGGAAAAAATTAAAAATTACAAGTTTATGGTAAATTAATTTACAAAATTATTTTCTATTGCAAGGCTGTGTGTCTTTTAATCAACCAACGAGACTTAAGAGATCTTCAAAATATTTTTACGAAAAATTTTGATAAATTATTGCATGATAAAAAAACAAAAGATTTAACTTTGAAAGAAATTTATACATTTTATTACTTAATAATGAGTGTTAATATTTCTTTATTGATAATATGTGCATGTCATGTATCTGCACCAATGATTTTTATTGTGTCTCAATATCTACAACATTCTCCAGCAATTCGTTATATTCTTCCATATGCTGCAGTCTATCCATGGAAGGTTCCACCAAAATCGTTAACTTATTGGATTACTTATGCAGTTCAATCGCTGGCAAACGTGCCATGTATTTGTTGGACTGTTTCTGTAGATACTGCCTACACACTGTACATTTTCCAAATGACTGGATTATTACGTGGGATATCTTATTATTTAAAAAATTTAAAAAATGAGAAAGATTATGAAGCGACTTTGAGTCAATGTATTGATCTATATGTTATTTTGATGAAATGTCGAGATAAAATTCAGAAGATTTTTGGACCAATCATTCTTTGGACTATTTTGAGCAATGGTGTTGTGATGTGTTCGATGGTTTTTCAAATCACTCATGTAAGTATGACTTTTTGTTCAAATTAATTACTCTTAAATCTTATCCTAGCTGTCTTCTATATTCAATTAGAATTTTTACATATTTAATTAACTCATAAATCTAATTAAGAATAAAAGAAAAGGTAGATGATGAGTCACTTTTGCTTTTCTTTGATTATATTTTACTCTGTTAAATTATCATCAATTGTCACTTTTCGAAGTTTTTGTTTATTGCCAAGAAGTTATTTTTGAATATATTGGTGATTATACAATACAATGGATAGTTAACATTTTTTAAAAACTTATCTCATGTAGAATTGATAATTACCCGGGTCAAAATGATCAGTTTTTGGACGTGCCCAAAAGAGGCCCAATTCAAGCTCAAATCATTTTTCAGGCCCACAGAAAATATCTTTAGGCTTAAATTGAGCGCGTTGTGGGCCTGGAAAATAATTTTGGGCTCCTTCGAAATTTAGGCCTGTAATGGGCTCGTTTTGGGCCTTAAGAATTTCTCCAAGTCAAGATTGGGCTTCGGTTGGGTCTTTATTGAGCTTATCTTTCATTTTGAGCTTCTTTTGGGCCTATTCATTTTTACTCGGGATATAATTCATAAAAATCTATATTGAAGAGTTGATAGCAATGGTATAAATAGCTTAATTACATAAAAATTTTAGATGAAATCAATAACATACGCTCGGCTAATAGTATTATGTGTGTATGTATTTTTTAAGTTATCTCAAACTTTTACATATGCATGGGTAGGAACACGTCTAACAGTAGAGGTAATGAAATATTTATTTATTTCTATGAAAAGCAAACAAACAATCATTTCATTAAAAATAGTGATCAGCAATTAAATATTGATTATATAATCACAGAGTGAAAATTGTATAGATGTTTTAAGCAGTATTGATTGGATAGGAAATAAAAAATTAGCATCAGTTTTGCTCATAATGCTACCTCAACAATCACTGAAATTGACTGCTTGCAATTTTTCAATTGTATCTGTAGACATGTTTCTCAAAGTAAGTTGATAAAATTTATTATAGTAATTAATTTACCACTCAATTGATGTGTCAATATTTAATTTAATGAATATATAACTAAATATCATTCTAGGTAATGAACACCACAATATCGTATTTCTTCTTATTGCAGACAATGGATGAAAAGTAATATTTTTTGACTACTAGAAATTATTATAATTCATCGACTTTAGGTGATAACCAATATTAGTATATTTTTCTTAGCAACATTAAATACATAATTTTATCTAGAATGTTATAATACTTTGATTGAACAGAATGTTCTATTGAAATACTATGATCTCCATTTAAATAAACTGGATCCTGAGTTTAAAAAAATGCCAATAATTCAGAAAACTTTAAAAAAAATATTCTAGTAACATTATGCCAAATCAAATGTTTCATTATATGGAATAAAATTGAAATTTATTAATTAGCTACCAAACTACAGGGTGTTAAAAATTATATTTGGCACAAATTGTTGTTCGAATTTCCTGTAATATGTGAAGTACAATAATATGTCAAAACGGAGAGAAAAATTCCTTTTTAAAAATTCGTGAGGCAGAAGTCGTCATACTGTCGTCAAATCCGTCATTTTATTGTACAATAAATCGAAACAATAACTTGGAAAGAATTGTAAATCAATCAAAACGTTTATTAAATCAATTGGAAAATCGGAATGACAGGGACAAACGTCTGGTCAACTTAAATCTCAGCCAGAAACTAAACATAAACAACTCGGTCAAACAACAAATTCTGTCGTTTATCAATAAATATATAGACAGAGATACATATTTGTTTTACAATATTATTCACGTACTGATTAGTTGTTAACCCGGGGTTACGCGCGCTATGAGAGTTTCTCTCACGCCCGTATTTAAACTGATTTTTCTCAATAATTTCAAATGGCATAGCTATTTGAAACTTTTTCAATGCTCATAATATTTAATTCTCTTTATAATTGATCCTGAAAAAACTTTTTTGATGATTTTAATATAGAAAAAAATGTCTTTTCTCACTATGCGCGTAAGGCCGTTACATAAAAATTCATTTTCGGAAGTTTCCGTCTGATGTCGATTACTGTCGTAGAGCTATCGAAGCTCGCCCTGTAGATTATTTATTATTTAACCTAAAATAATTTTTCTACATTAAAAATAAGCCTTAATAACATTCTTTTATACGTGTGAGATAATCTCTCATCGCGCGCATCACCTTGATGGCCAAAATGGGGCGCGCAACGCCAGGTTGTATTGAGAATGATGGCAGGGAAGATTTTCGGTTTGAACAAAAAATTCTTTGTGTATATTAACATATGATACGATGCTGAGGATGTCTCCATGTTGTTAGTTAAATAAAAATTATCTGGTCGTACAGGATAAGAATTCCCATTGGATCTGATAAAACCTTATAGAATTTTTATGGGGTTTTATAACTATAACTATATAACTATACAGAGGTTTAATTTTTTTATTTACAAAATAAATCAAAAACGAAAAATTAAATATTTATACTTTTTGAACATTTTTTTAAATCAAGGAATATACATTATGAGACGCGTGGGTTTGCAGAGTACCCATTCAAAAGTTTAATATTTCTGACGAACATCTTTAACTCATGAGTTAAACGTATTAATGCAATCAATGCATTAATACGTAAATCAACAATGAGTCGATACAATTATAAGATAATTAATATTGAATCAATAGTATTTTCGAGCAGATTTGTAAAGTTCATACTGTATATATTTGATTTTTGAATCTCAAGTTTATTTTTTACAATGTCAGTATATAACAGAAATTCTTCATTCTAAATACTTGGTTTTGAAGTCTCTAGATTTTTTAAAAATCTATAAATGTTTGGTATACTCAAAAGATGAATATTTTATCTAAGCAAATTATCAATAGTAATGTCATTAATGACAAAACGTTTTTTTCAATTTCTTGCTGATATTGTACAATAAATTCTCGTATATCACTAATGGAAGTCGTATTATGAGACAATCTAATTGTCTTAATTTCATTGTTGATAAAATCAGAAGCTACATTACGTTGTAGTGCATTAATTTCAGAGTATTCTACATTATTGGCAGTTACATAGTAATGATTATTATGGTTTACATTGGACTTCGATTAATATTATTAATTCTTCAGTCATTCTAAAACATATCTGTTTGACAGTAATACCAAAAAGCATTGAATATCATAAATCAATATGATTGGAATTAGTACTGTGATCCAAGTGGCATTTAATTACATCGTAATTTTCAAAGTAATATGCAATAATAAGTGGTGTCCAGCCCGTGGGATCTGTAGCTTCTGTATTTGTATGGTATTACATTAGTAGATAGACTATGAGAGTTCTACCAAACCTTTTTTTTGAGATAGTGTTGTGGTAGAACTCTCATAGCTGTAGACGTGAAAAATGGGGGGTTCTTAGGTTTTGTTGAGGCGGGGGGTTGAGGGAGGATTTCTGAGGTAAGATGTCGAACATAGATGGGGAAATCTTACTGAATAATTAATATTGTCTGGGCGTTATCTAAGTGTATTCGTAAGTGTAGGAAATTTATGTTTAAAATTTTTAAATGATCAGCTATAAATGTGATGTAAAAAAATTTTTATTTTATTTACATTTTAAGTATTATACAGTAAACATTATGGGTGATTCTTTGATATTCACACTTACTGGACATTCATCATTATTGGAGGTTTCATATTTTCCTCCAATTGAATTATCACCTACAAAAAATTATGTTCTTGGACTTGTTGATTTTCTGACATTTAATTCAATTCCCAACATATATGAAGGCAACAATAAATTTCGATATCAAATAAAAGTCGAATGGCGTTCAATTACAATTCCAACAGATACTTATGATTTTAAAGATATTTACATATTTATAATTGCGACAGATCCTCAATTAAATCTTTCATTAGGAGTCGAAAAAATTACACTTGTCACCGAATTATATATGCGAAAAATGAGCTATTGACTTCACATCTGAAGATTCTATTGGTGAATTTTTGAGGTTTTGAACAAAAAATTTATAAAGCAGGAGAAGTATACGAATCAGAAAAACCAACATCAATATTGAGTGTTAATGCAATATGTGTAGATTGTAATATTACAAGTGGTGCATACATAAATAATCAATTTGCTCATACAATTCATGCATTTTTTCCATCAGTCCCACCAGGATATAAAATTATTGAATCACCTGCAAAAGTCATTTATCTTCCAATTACGGTGAGGGAAATACATAATTTACAGATACGAGTTGTGGATCAAAACGGAAAATTAATTGATAATCGATCTGAATCAGTCACTGTAAGGTTACATTTGAAGAGTATATAATGGTAACAGTTTATGGTGGTCATTTGGAAGAACAAAGTTATAATAACCATCAACCATGCGCTAATCTATACAGTTTAAAGAAGACAATCAAACGAGCAACATCTCAACAGTAGAAGACGAAAAAGAAGAGGAGAAGAGTGGAACAACTGACGAGGCGACGGCGTTAAAAATTAATAAAAAAATTGTTCAAGATTAATCTATATCTCATTATGAGATTCACGCACATCTGCCATATGGTTTGTCATTATATAAAAACAATGATGAGATACGTATAGCTGTACAACATCAAGAGTTATGTATTCTACCATGTGAAAGTCCAATTCATATCACTGGTAAATTTACAAATGACAATGGGAGTGCTACATCGAACAGATCGTTACTTGCAACAATAATTACTTATTTCTTATTTGAAGAAATGGGATATGAATTAAATAGAGTTGAAATTGATCGCAGTAAAAATATGGGCATTACAACACTCATGAAGGGATTTCCATCATTTACACCAGAGCAAGAATATTCTTTGGAAAACAGTGGAATGGTACTTGATAATAAAAAACTATGTGATTCCAATGGGAATTTTGACGTCATCATACCATTAAAATTATTATTTGGATTTGCTAAGGATTATAAACAAGTCATTGTTAACTTTAAACATGAGCTAATACTCATAAGAGCCAACACTGACTTGAATGCAATACATCAAACTGAAGTAGCTAATGCGGCGACAACAGCAGCAGAAAATGTAAAAATTACTCTTGATGAAATTAAATGGTTTGTGCCATATGTTACAATGTCTGATTCAAAGAAAGTTGATATGTTAAGTTACATCAGTAAAGATCTATCGATATCGATAGCCTTTAGATCATGGGGGCTATATGAATATCCATCTTTACCTATAACAACGAAACACATTTGGTCTGGGAAAACAACAAATCAACTAGAGAAGCCAAGATATATTATATTTTCATTACAAACTGAACGTAAAAATCAATTATCAAAACGCGCTGATATATTTGATCATTATAAAATTACAGATTTTGCTGTTTATTTAAATTCACAGCGATATCCATATGCTAACATGAATATTGATATTTCAAATAGTAAATATGTATACAAATTTTTATTTATCCTATTATAGTAAAAATATTAAAAGACCATACTTAAAGAAAGGAAATTTTATGGGAAGAGGACCATTCATTGTAATAGATTATTCAAGACAAAATGAATCCATTAAAGCGGGGCCAGTCGATGTTCGTCTTGAATTTAAAGCTACTGAAGTGTTTCCCCCATACTGTTCACTTTTACATGATAGAATAGTTGAATATAAACTATTAAGTGGACAAATTCGTAAATTGATTTAGAAAATATATAATTATATGTTTATATTTAAGTTTAATTTCAAAAATTGTAATCATTTACATATTTATATACAAATAAAAAAATTAAAAAAGAAGAAAAGTTGTATCTCTTTAAAAAAAAGAATCTTATAAATATTTTAGGATTAGAGGTTTTTTTTATTATAGAAATAATTCAAAAGCATACATATCATTAATCTTAGAGTTTATTTGAAGAAGAAAAAAAATTATATACAATACTTGATACATTTTTTCAATACATATTTGTAAAGCATTAGCATATACATTTTTCAAAATCATAATTATTAAATATTTTCTAAAAGAATGATTGAAAGCGTAAATCTTTTTCTTAGGATAATGAGCGATTATAGAAGTTGATTCACCCCTACGAACTTTCAATTCATCATGCTGAAGACAATCCAATGTTTCCATCATTTCAAATAAG